TTAAAGAGAATGGTTAGAGAAGTTCTCACTTAGATGTGGCATTCATGAAGGGATTTGGAAGTGAGAGAGGCCACATTCCATGTTCTAGAGGCTGGACTGAGGGCAGAGCAAAGGTGTCAATGAATGCCAGTTCCTGGTGGAGACATTTTCCTGCAGGCAGCCTTCCTGGAAGCCCACAACATATTTCCACTTTCATCTCATTTGCCAGGACTTGGGTACATATCATCTCTGACTCAAAGGCAGAGAGTTGTAGGAAGGGATGATGGATATCAAGGTTGACATCTGCTGCCCTAGAAGGTAGTATTTGAGCTGGGCCTTCACAGAGGTCAGTAGAGATGATGAAGGCATTCTAGACAGAGGAAGTAGGATGCAAAGGCACAGAGGATTGAAATATCTTCTGAGCACCCAGAAATCTGGAAGGTGGATTTTTGTGTAAAATTTTCTTATTTTAACTAATTAAGAATTTTAAGCACAACTGAAGGAATATGTCTGTAGGTTGGTTATGGCCCACAGGCAGCCAGTGTGTATGGGGTGATACAGACTTTCTCCCATAGTTAGCTGCTGTCATTAAACCAAATGAAAGACCTCAAGTAGTAATGGTTGCAAGTTGAAGAGAAGAAAGGCTAGTTAGCCACTCAAGACTGGTTACCTTGCCTCAAGGCTCGGTTCTCAGCTTTGTTGTTCAGAAATTCTATTTTTCTTTTCCATGAAATGAGATGAGAAGACTCAGCAGTGTTGCCTTACACAACTATATCAGTAAGCATGGGCTAGGTTTTGCTACAGTAACAATAATCCCCAAGTCTCAGTGAGCACTGAGACTTATGCTTATGCTCACTTATGCTACACATTCAATGTACTTTGGCAGAGGGCTTCTGCTCATCATTGTCCCTGGAGGAGTACAGGCTGATACAGGCTCCACCTTAAAAATTACAGAGGAAGGAAGAGGACCAAAGCAAATCCCTTACTTCCTCTGAAACTCTTTACCTAGAGGTGACCATGTTATTTCCACTCACTGAAAAAAAAAAATGGACTTTAGGGGCACCTGTGTGGCTCAGTTGGTTGAGTGTCTGACTCTTGGTTTTGGTTCAGATCATGATCTCATGGGTCCTGGGATTGAGCCTTGTGTCAGGCTCCATGCTCAGCAGGGAGCCTGCTTGAAGATTCTCTCCCTCTGCTCCTCCCCACCCACGCACTCTCTCTCTCTCAAATAAATAAATAAATCTTAAAAAATAGATTTTTTTAGAGCAGTTTTAGGTTCGCCACAAAATTGAGTGGAAGATAGATTTCTCATCTACCTGTGCCTTTACACATGCCAACCCTTTGCCATTATCAACATCCCCCATCAGAGGGGTACATTTATTGCAATTGATGAACCTACACTGACAAATCATTACTACCCAGAGTCTATAGTTTACATTAGGGTTCACTAATTCACTTTTCATTGGCCAAAGCAAGTCAAGTTGATACACCTAATTTCAGAAGAGTAGGGAAATGCAATTCTAGCAGGTTCTTGGAAGGAGAGAACTGGAATATTTGGGAGTAGTCCTAATTACCCTGCTAACCATGCTTATAGGAGACTGATGGATAAAACATGAAAAACATTGCATATCAAGCTAACTGGACCTGTGCTCACTGATGGACACATTTCCCCACCAGTGTCAGACTTTTGTAGGCGGGGCAGTCAGCGGGGTCATCCTAATAGCAACATCAGGCTGGGCTGTCCTGATGCATCTGGCTCTACACTAAGGTCGCTCCAGATACTGGTGTTCCTGGGTAAGTCACCAACCCACTCCACCACCATCCGCCCCGACCCTCACACCTTACACCTTGCTTCTGGACAGTGCCTGAGATACACAGACACATGTGTTTCTGTCTTACCTCCTTTACCTCCTGAGACACCCTACACACATTGTCTTTGGACAAGGACCATCTGATCTGTTGTTTATGCCTTCCTAATTTCAGTTGTAACTAAACAACTTTTGGGTTGTTTTGACTCGATTTGGGATGTTCTAGGAACTCATCAGTCTTTTGGTATATAAACACTTCTTGGCCATGAATAATGTCTTCAGATGTTTGGACCTGTTTTTTTGTTGTTGTTGTTGTTTGTTTATTTGTTTTGTTGTTGTTTGGGCCCTGTTTTTCACTTGTTGCTTTTTTTGTTCCTCATTTCATTTTCAAAGCTTAGCTTTCCCTTTGAAATCCCCTGCAATCTGATTCTCCCAGCCATTCCCCTAAGTCACCATTCTTGCCCATCCTGCATAAACCCTGTTATGGGATAAATTGTGTCCCTCCAAATTCATACATTGAAGTCCTAACACCCAGTACTTGAGAATGTGACTGTATTTGGAGATTGGGCCTTTAAAGAGGTAATAAAAGTTACATCACTTACCATCAGGGAAAGGCAAATCAAAACCACAATGAGATACCACCTTACACCTGTCAGAAGAGCTAAAATCAACAACACAAGAAACAACAGGTGTTGGCAAGCATGTGGAGAAAAAGGAACACTCATGCACTGTTGGTAGGAATGCAACTGGTGCAGTCACCCTGGAAAACAATGTGGAGTTTCCTCAAAAGTTAAAAATAGAACTCCCAGGAGGGGAAGAATGAAGGGGGGGAAATCAGAGGGGGAGACGAACCATGAGAGACGATGGACTCTGAAAAACAAACTGAAGGTTCTAGAGGGGAGGGGGGTGGGAAGATGGGTTAACCTGGTGATGGGTATTAAAGAGGGCATGCTCTGCATGGAGCACTGGGTGTTATGCACAAACAATGAATCATGGAACACTACATCAAAAACTAATGATGTAATGTATGGTGATTAACATAACAATAAAATTTTTTAAAAAAAGAATAAACAAAAGGAATCAGAAGAAAAAAATAGAACTCCCTATGATCGAGCAATTGAACTACTGGATATTTACCCAAAGAATACAAAAATACTGATTCAAAGGGATACATGTCCCCCTATGTGTCTAGCACCATTATTTACTATAGCTAATTATGGAAGTAGCCCATGTGTCCATTGACTGATGAATGGAAAAAGAGGATGTGGTGGGCGCCTGGGTGGCTCAGTTGGTTAAGCAACTGCCTTTGGCTCAGGTCATGATCCTGGAGTCCTGGGATTGAGTCCCACATCGGGCTCCCTGCTCGGCAGGGAGTCTGCTTCTCCCTCTGCCCCTCCCCCCTCTCATGTGCTCTTTCTCATTCTCTCTCTCTGAAATAAATAAATAAATAAATCTTTAAAAAAAAAGAGGATGTGGTATATATACACAATGGAATATTATTCAGCCATAAAGAAGAATGAAATCTTGTCATTTGCAATGACATGGATGGTGCTAGAGAGTGTAATGCTAAGTGAAATAAGTCAGAGAAAGACAAATACCATACGATTTCACTCATATTGGAATTTAAGAAACAAATGAGCAAAGGGGAAAAATGAGAGACAGAGAGGCAAAACAAGAAACAGACTCTTAACTCTAGAGAACAAACTGATGGTTACCAGAGGGGGTGGGGTGGGGGGATGGGTGAAATAGGTGATGGGGATGAAGGAGGGCACTTGTTATGATGAGCACTGGGTGATGTATGGAATTATTGAATCACTATATTGTAAAGATGAAACTGATATTACAGTGTGTTAACTAATTGGAATTAAAATAAAAACTTAAAAAAAACTAATAAAGAGATAATAAAAGTTAATCGAGGTCATATGGGTGGGCCCTAATCCAGTATGACTGGTATTCTTATAACAAGAGGAGATTAGGACACAGATAGACACAAAGGGAAGACCTTACAAGGACACAGTAACAAGGCAGAATCTACAAGTTTAGGAGAGAGGCCTCAGAAGAAGCTAACCCTGCTGACGCCTCGATCTCAGACTTCCAGCCTCAGAACTATGAAGAAATAAGTTTCTGTTGTTTAAGCCTGCCAGTCTGTGGTACTTGGTTATGGAAGCCCTAGGAAACTAATATAGCCCCCTACAAGCAGTAACCTCAATCCAAACTGAGCGCATACAGCTGTAGCTTTATTTAAAAAATGGGGTCTGTGGGGCACCTGGGTGGCTCAGTCGGTTCAGTGTCTGGCTCTTGATTTCTGTTCAAGTCATGATCTCAGGGTTGTGAGATCCAGACCCATGTCAATCTCTGCGCTGGGTCTGAGCCTGCTTAAAGTTCTCTCTTTTCCTCTCCCTCTACCCCTCCCCTCCCTTGTTCTTACTCTCTTGCCCTAAAAAAAAAGAAAAACAAAAACCAAACAAACCCAAAACCAAAAAATGGGGTCTGGATTGATGAGTGTTATTGCCATGTTGAGGTGTAGGCTTGGATCATGGTGGTGCCTTTAGGAGGTGTTACCCAAAGTGAGATATGTGGAACCCTGGTGGGGTGGACTATAGATATGTAATTATATATATATATATAATATTTATATTATATATAAATATATAAAAATGTATATATGAATTATAAATATGTAATTTTTAAAATTAGAAAAATGTATTATTAACACATCACACCCATGATTTCACAGATATTATTTAGAATGGGCTAAGTTACAGAATAATAAACTGAATTGAAGTTGGTTTAAAGAAAATTAGTTGGGGAATAAGTAAATACAGCAAAATATTCTGGCAAGAGTGCCTGGGTGGCTCAGTCTGTTAAACATCTGCCTTCGGCTCAGGTCATGATCTTAGGGTCCTGGAATCGAGCCCCACATCGGGCTCCCTGCTCTGCAGGAAGCCTGCTTCTCCCTCTCCCTCTGCCCCCCACTAATGCTTGCTCTCTCTCTCTCTAGTGCTCTCACTCTCTCAAATAAATAAATAAAACCTTTAAAAAAATATTCTGGCAAAATAACGAAGGTGTACGGGGAGGTGCTGGGCTAGGGACTCTGGAATGAGGGTGCTTGGAGGTGGGCCCCTGGCAAGTGCCCTCCCCCACAAAGTGCTACAGTCCTGCTTCTGGGAATGACATTGAATTTTAAAATAATTTGATACAATGTGATTGTAGGTGCTGCAGACTGCTGACTCCAACATGGATTACATCACACAGTTGTTGACATTATCCTGGAAAGAGGGAACAGGGCTGGAGGAAAGGAATGGACTCACTACTTAATAAGGCAGCCCTTGGGGCCTGCCTGTTCTGAGTGCAGCACAGATGTCCAGGAGAGAGCTATCTTGTCAAGATCAGGTGAGGAAATGGGAGAAGCGAGAAGATACAGGAGGGGGACAAAGTGCCAATCTTTTACAACTGCTCAGCCCTTAACAACTGTCAGTGGGCTCACATGCCTGTTTTCTTGATTAAGTCAAACCATATCCTGTCGTTAAGGCCTCCAGTCAAATGTATCATATGACCTCACTGATATGAGGAATTCTTAATCTCAGGAAACAAACTGAGGGTTGCTGGAGTGGGGGGTGGGATGGGAGGGATGGGGTGGCTGGTGATAGACATTGGGGAGGGTATGTGCTATGGTGAGCACTGTGAGTTGTGTAAGACTGATGAATCACAGACCTGTACCTCTGAAACAAATAATACATTATATGTTAAAAAAAAAAGAAGATAGCAGGAGGGGAAGGATGAAGGGGGGAAATCGGAGGGGGAGATGAACCATGAGAGACTATGGACTCTGAGAAACAAACTGAGGGTTCTAGAGGGGAGGGGGGTGGGAGGATGGGTTAGCCTGGTGGTGGGTATTGAGGAGGCACATTCTGCATGGAGCACTGGGTGTTATGCACAAACAATGAATCATGGAACACTACATCTAAAACTAATGATGTAATGTATGGTGATTAACATAACAATAAAAAATTAAAAAAAAAAAGGACTCCAGTCAAGCTGGATGAAACATCAGAAACAAAAAGCGTTTTATTCTTCAGAAACTCCCTTCAAAATCCCCTTTGGTGTGGCTCCTGCCTCATCATCCCAGTGTGCTGCCCTCTCAAAAGCCACCAGGGCTCTTGGTGGTTACCCTAAGTTTGCAGATAAGGAGTCCAGGGGTCACCGATTTGAAGCTACTTCCTTGACCTAGGCTGCTTGGCTGGTCAGGGGCAGCACTGAGGGGCTTTTGATTCCTCAGTCTAGGGCTTGTTACAACATACTATTTCCCTTTATATATTTTAAGGACTATTGTACAGAAGTGCCATTTTCTGTGTAGGCAGCTCAAGAACATAAATCTGGGTCTCATTGGGAGAAGGTGCCCACAGAGGGTGGAGCTAGCAGGAGGCAATAGGCAATTTTCAGCTCTATTTTCTCACTGAGAAAATTCTCCTGACTTGCTTATTTTAGCAGTGTCATGTTTTAAGTCACCAGACCTGGGATTTTTTTTTTTTTTTAAACTTCTTTGAAGTATAATATGCATACAATGAAGTGCACCCATTTTTTTGATGTGCAGTTCCGTGAGTGTGGACAAATGTTTACACCCAGGTGTACATTGTTACCACGTTCAAATATAGACCACTTCCATTACTCCAAATGTTTCCTTGTGCCCACTGATCTTTCTGCCACTACAGATTAGATTCGACATTTCTAGAGCTTCTTGCAAGTAGAATCATGCAGTAAGTATTCTTTTATGTCTGGCTTTTCTCTCTTAGCATAATGTTTTTGAGATTTATCCAGGTCATGTGTGTTAATTTATTTTTTCTGACTCGTTTCCATTTATATGTATGTATATACCCCAATTTGTTCATTCATTTATCTGTTGGTGGACATTTGGGTTGTTTCCAGTTTTTGGCTAAGATGAATAAAGCTGTCATGAACATTCCTTGTGTAAGATTTTGTGTGGACCTATACTTTCATTTCTCTTAGGTAGATACCTATGGGTGTGACTTCTGAGTCATATTGCTATAAGTAACCTTAAAAGAAAAGGCCAAATGATTTTTCAAAGTGATTTTGGCATTTTATATTCCCACTGGCAATTTTTGAGAGTTCCAGGTGCTCTACATCCATCCCAATGCTTGATATTGTCAGTCTTCTTAATATTAGCTATTCTCTTGGGTATGTAGTGATACCTCCTCATTTTGATTTTGATTTGCACTTTTCTAATGACCAGTGATATTGGGTATCTTTCCATGTACTTATTGGCCATTTATATAAATCTTCTGTGAAGTGTCTGTTCACGTTTTTTTTTTTTTTTTGCTCATTTTTAAATTGGGTATTGTCTTATTTAGAGTTATAAGAGTTTTTTCCCTTTAAAAAAATCTATCCAGACGCAAGTCCTTTTTCAAATATATATATATTGTAAATATTTTCTCCCACTCTGTGGCTTGCCCTTTCATTTTCTTAATGATATTTTTAGAACAGGAGTTTAATTATTATTATTATTATTGCTAAGTGAATTTTTAAGATTTTATTTTCACATGTTCTTTTGGTGATGAGAAGTGGGAAGGCCATTTGTTTATTTATATAACATGTCCTGGACCCCAGTCTTCCTCTAGCCAAGCCCCTTTTGCTGTAAGTATTTTTTTTTAATGTTTTATTTATTTATTCATGAGAGTCAGAGAGAGAGAGAGAGAAGCAGAGGGAGAAGCAGGCTCCCCGCCTAGCAGGGAGCCCGATGAGCGGGACTCGATCCCAGGACCCTGGGATCATGACCTGAGCTGAAGGCAGACGCTTAACCACCTGAGCCACCCAGGCACCCCTTGCTGTAAGTATTTTGCCATGCTGTGTGGGAGGGATCCATTTGTCTCCCCCACCAGCTCCCAGTTAGTGATGGCAGCTAGGACATGCCTTGGCCCTGAATCTCAGCTGAGGGGGCTGCCAGAGAGAGGACACAGAGCTGAATCGCAGGTAGGTGATTGGGGTAGGCTTGTGTCCCTCCTGGGGCCCTGTATTGGCAACATCTGATAATGTGAATCTAAATTAGAAACATCTTCTTTTTCTCTGTAGCGCTTATGCTGGTTTGTAATTTTATCTTGGTGGGTTTATATATGTCTTTCCACTTGACTGTCTCTGAGGGCAGGACTATGTCCATTTTAATGCCCTAGTATTTGCTGAATTTGACTTTCAGAGTCTTACTTGCCCAGTACTGTGAGAAGAAGGCAGACAGTTCCCATTCCCACAGTCCACAAGGAGTCCTGACTCTTGGCAGAAAAGAGTCCCTCATGGTGTTCACTCCCTGGACCAGGGCAAGCTAGTTATTCTCTTCTGGCATGGGGCAGGGAGAGCCCCATCTCTCAGCCATGTGCCTGGGGTCTCAGTCTTGGGAACACTAGTTTTTGTCTTTACCCTCTTCCCTCTTTGGATCCCCTTCTGGTCTGTCAGGTGATGCGTGGTACCTATTTGCCCTTCTCTCCTGTCCTCTTGTCCATCTTTCCTGACTCTTGTCTCCTTTCGCCTCCTTCTTTCCAGCTGTAAGATGTGGGACAAGACCTCAAAGACTCTCCAGGAGACAAGTCCAACTGTTAGGACAATAAATATAAGCCTGGAGAACTCCACAGATTCCAAAAAGATTCTTTGTTCTTTTCAAAGCAATCCATTAAATGCAGTTCTTGTAGTGCATTATACACTTGCTTAGAATGTATTGCCATGTGTTACAGTGCATGTGTCAGCCTCAAGTTTCACCTTAAATGACCAGGGCTGAGACAGAAGCTTTCTGGGCAGGTTAACCTCAAGTAATCGAACAGAGCTGAAGGAGTGGGACTTGAAGACGCATCTAATTTTTACATAATAGTGAGGAGTTTTTAATTTTGATGAGATCCAATTTATCAAATTTTTTCTTTTATGATTTTTGATTTTTGTGTCCTATCAAAAACATTTTTGGCCCACTCCAAAATCTTCTGTTTTCTTTTAGAGCTAACTTTTACATTTAGTCTACGATCCATTTCAGGTTAATTTTTGTGAATGGCATGAGGTTGCCTTTTCATTTTATTATTTCCTTAGCTTACGATGGGTTTTTAGTTTGATGTAGTTCCACTTGTTTGAGTTTGCTTGTGTTGGCTACATTTTTGTTGCTATATCTAAGAAATCATTGCCAAGACCAACATCAAGGATTTTTCTCTTGTTTTCTTCTAGGAGTTGTTTTGGGTCTTACATTTAAATCTTTAATTCATTTTGTGTATGGTGTAATATAAAGGTCCAATTTCAGTCTTTTGCATGTGGATATGCAGTTTTCCCAGAACCATTTATTGAAGAGATTATCCTACCCCCATTGTGTATTCTTGACACCCTTGTCAAAGATTATGACCATATATGCATGGCCTTATTTCTGGACTCCTCATTGTGTTCGATTGGTCTATGTGTCTGCTTTTATGCCAGTACCATACTATTTTGACTAGAATAGCTTTGTATTATAGTTTGAAATCAGGAAGTGTGATGCCTCCAACTTTGTTCTTCTTTCTCAAGATTGCTTTGGCTATTCAGCATCTTTTGTGATTTTGTAAAAATTTTAGAATTGTTTTTTCCATTTTGTGAAAAATGTCATTGGAATTTTGATAGGGATTGCATTGAATCTGTGGATTGCTTTGGGCTCTTATTTTTCTTTTCTTATGCTTACTTTGAATGTAGTTGGTTCTTTTTCTAGATTCCTAATGCAGAAATTAGATTATTGATTTTAGATCCATATTATAGGAGTCCCAGAAGAAGAAGAGTGGGAAAAGGGGGCAGAAAGTTTATTTGAACAAATTATAGCTGAGAGCTTCCTTAATCTGGGGAAGGAAATAGGCATTCAAGTCCAAGAGGCACAGAGAACTCACCTCAAAATGAACAAAAATAGGTCAACAACTCAACATATTATAGTGAAGCTTGCAAATTACAAAGATAAAGAGAAAATCCTGAAAGCAGCTCAAGATAAGAGGTCCTTAAACTATAAGGGTAGACACATAAGGGCAGCAGACCTGTCCACAGAGACCTGGCAGGCCAGAAAGGACGGGCATGATGTATTCAATGTGCTAAGTGGAAAAATATGCAGCCAAGAATACTTTATCCAGCAAGGCCGTCATTCAGAATAGGAGAGAGAGAGTTTCCAAGACAAACAAAAACTAAAGGAATTTCTGAACACTAAGCCAGCCCTGCAAGAAATAATAATGGGACCCTTTGAGCAGAAAGAGAGACCAAAAGTAACAAAGACCACAAAGGAACAGAGACAACCTACAAGAACAGCAACTTTATAGGTAACACAGTGGCACTAACTTCATATCTTTCAATAATTACTCTGAATGTAAATGGATTAATGATCCAATCAGAAGACATGGGGTATTAGAATGGATTAAAAAAAAAGACCCATTTATATGCTGCTTATGAGAAACTCATTTTTAGACCCCAAAACACCTCTAGATTGAAAGTGAGGGGGTCGAGAACTATTTATCATACTCATGGACATCAAAAAAACCTGGAGTAGCCATCCTTATATCAAACAAACTAGATTTAAACAAAGACTGTACTAAGAGATAAAGAAGGACACTATATTATAATAAAGGGGTCTATCCAACAAGAAGATATAATAATTGTAAATATGCCCTATAACTTGGGAGCAGCCAAATATATAAACCAATTAATAACAAACTTAAAGAAACTCATTGATAATAATACAGTAATAGTAGAGGACTTTAGCACCCCACTCACAGCAATGAACAGATCATCTAAGCAGAAAACCAAAAAGGAAACAAAGGCTTTGAATGATACACTGGACCAGATGGACTTTGCTGATATATTCAGAGCATTTCATCCTAAAGCAGCAGAATACATTCTTCTAGGGTGCACATTGAACATTCTCCAGAATAGATCACATATTGGGTCACAAACCAGTACTCAACAAATACAAAAAGATTGAGATAATACCATGCATATTTTCAGACCACAGTGCTATGAAACGTGAAGACAACCACAAGAAGAAATTTAGAAGGACCACAAATACATGGAGGTTAAAAAACATCCTACTAAAGAATGAATGGGTCAACCAAGAAATTAAAGAATTAAAAAAATACATGGAAGCAAATGAAAATGAAAACAGCCGTTCAAAACCTTTGGAATGCAGCAAAGGTGGTCCTAAGAGGGAAGGATATAGCAATACAGGCCTTCCTCAAGAAGCAAAAAAATCCCAAATAAACAATTTAATCTTACACCTTAGGACCTAGAAAAAGAATAGCAAATAAAGCCTAAATCCAGCAGGAGAAGACAAATAATACAGATTAGAGCAGCAATCAATGATACAGAAATAAAAAAACCCAGTAGAACAGCTCAATGAAACCGGGAGCTGGTTCTTTGAAAGAATTAAAAAGATTGATAACCCCCTAGGCAGACTTATCAAAAAGAAAAGAGAAAGGACCCAAATAAATAAAATCATGAATGAAAGAGGAGAGATCACAGCCAACACTGAAGAAACATAAACAATTATAAGAGACTATTATGAGCAATTATATGCCAATAAATTAGGCTATCTGGAAGAAATGGATGCATTCCTAGACACATATAAACTACCAAAACTGAAACAGGAAGAAATAGAAAACCTGAACAGACCCATAACCGACAAAGAAATTGAATCAGTAGTCAAAAATCTCCCCAAAAACAAGAGTCCAGGGCCAGATGGCTTCCCAGGGGAATTCTACCAAATATTTAAAGA